AGGATTCTCCAGGGACTGGGGGTGTCGGGAAGGTGGGACAGAGCCGCCGGCCGGGCCTCACGCCTGCCCCTTCCCTGCAGTGCCGCATTCGGCCCTCGGTGTTCAGGCCCACCGCAGGCAACGGGAAGGGCTTCCTGTCCATGCAGAGCCTGGCGGCCCACAAGGGCCAGAAGCTGTGGCGCAGCAACGGCAGCCTGCACACGCTGGCCTGCCACCCGCCCCTCAGCCCGGGGCCGCAGGCCGGCCAGGCCCGGGCACAGCTGCTGCATGCCCTCAGCCTGGACGAGGGCGGCCCCGAGCCCGAGCCCAGCCTGTCCGACTCCTCCAGCGGGGGCAGCTTTGGCCGCAGCCCAGGCACTGGCCCCAGCCCCTTCAGCTCTTCGCTGGGCCACATTAGCCACCTCGGGGGCTCCCTGGACCGGGCCTCACGGGGCCCCACGGAGGCCGGGCCGCTGGCTGTGTTGAGCTGCCTGCCTGAGCCCCCGCCCCCCTACGAGTTCTCCTGCCCCGCTGCCGAAGAGGTGGTAGCTATGCTGCCCGAGACCTGTGAGGACCTCAAGAGGGGCCTTGCCGGCGACGACGGCTCCGGCCCCTTCATGCAGGTGAGGGAGCCCGTGCCCTGGGGTCCTGCCCCTTGGCGTTGGGGCACAGCCAGCTCACTTATGTGGCTCTAGACACAAGAGAATCAGAAAGGGGAGGATGTCTGGGTCTCTCTCCCCTGAGTCCCGGACGTGGGGTGTCATGTCACGGGTGGTCCTTGCCCGGGAAGGGAGAGGCTCTGTGGGAGGACCATGTGTGGGGACACCTCGCCTCTGGAGGGCATCCTGGGTCAGGGCCTGTGTGTGGCCGGGCCCTGGGCCCTGTGGTGCGGTAGCACAAATGTGAGCCACAGCCAGAGTGTTGCTCGAAGCTGCACACGCGACGGGAGCACGGGTGGGGGGCGCCCCGGGGGTGGGGAGCGTGCGGACACCCGAGCCTGGCCGTGCTGGCCTTACCGGGCCTTCCCCTGGCAGGTGATGGGCGAGCGCCAGCGGCTGTGGCTGTCCGAGCTGAAGCGCCTGTACGTGGAGCGGCTGCACGAGGTGACCCAGAAGGCCGAGCGCAGCGAGCGCAACCTCCAGCTGCAGCTGTTCATGGCCCAGCAGGAGCAGCGGCGTCTGCGCAAGGAGCTGCGGGCCCAGCAGGGCCTGGGTCCCGAGCCGCGGGCCCCCAGTGCCCTCCCGGAGGCCGATCCGGGCCCGCGCCCAGAGGAGGATGCGCGGTGGGAGGTGAGAGGGGG